TACATGATGTCTTTCCTTTGCTGCAAAACCTTACCTAATGATTCATTCTGAATCTCCACTCATTAGCACTGAATTATGATTTGTTAACAAGGCGGTGACATTTTCTGTTACCTTGCAGCTCTCTGCAATTTGTCTTTAAATGACATTTTTGCCAAGCACTGGGAGCTCACACCTATAATCCTAGCTACTCAGTAGATGGAGAGTTGAGGATCAGAGTTTGAAGCCAACTTAGGCAGACAAATCCAAGAAACTCTTATCCTCAGTGAGTAAATCCAGAAGTGGAGATGTGGCTTAAGTGGTAACAGTACCAGTCTTGAGCTGAAAAGCAAAGCAAGAAAGTGAGGCCCTGAGTTTAAGCCCCATTACTGGCACACAATAAACTAAAATAACTTTTTTTTTTAAAGGAAAAGCAAACATTCACATAAAATTTACTTTGCAGTGTTCTCATTAACGAAATTAGAATCAGAAACTGATTCTGAAGATGAAAGTTAAAATAAAGTTCTCCATGAACGGGGTACAGCATTTAAAACTCCCATCTCAGAAATATTATCCAAGCTTCCCCTGGAACTGGGCAGACTGTCAAGAAATGGAGAAGAGAGGGGTGAAAAACAGATGAGATTCAAGTCATGCATTCCTGTTTAGAAAGGGACACAAGTAATCTCTGTATATTTCGAATATACAGGAATCTCTGTGTATTCCTAATGCAGAAATCATGAGAGAAATCAGATGTCTAGTGTTTATCTTAAAGAAGGGGAACAGTTAGTTGCTCTTCTGTGTGCCTGTGTGTGTATGAGAGAGAGAGAGAGACAGAGACAGAAAGACAGAGAGAGTGTGTGCACTCACGCACATGTCTCCTGCCAATACTGGGTTTGAACTCCAGGCTTGGAATCTGCCCCTTAGCTTTTTTTGCTCAAGGCTAGCACTCTAACACTTGAGCCATTCCTTCACTTCTAGCTTTTTTGGAGGTTAATTAGAAATAAAAGTCTCATCAACTTTACTATCATGGCTAACTTCCAACAGCAATCCTCAGATCTCAGCCTCCTGAGTAGCTAGGATGACAGGCTTTAATCACTGGCACCCAGCAATTCTCTTCTTAATAGTCGTGTACTTCTGCAAACAGTAGGGAACACATCTCAGTAATAAATATCTCGATTGGAACTATGAGTAACAGATTGAAAAGAAATGTGTCCATGAAACCTTCTGAGTTGAAGGTCATAGTCCAGCTTCATACACACTCAGACCCTATAGCAAACAAGTTCATCTTCAAATCCAGATGAATTTAATCTCATTTAATGCATCTAGAAGCATTACACAGAACAGAAAAGGTCACTAGTGAGCTAGACTAGTTGTATATCCATAGACATTGAAAATTTTAAAATTTATCAATTCAGCACTGATCATACTTCTAATCCTATCTCCAGCTCAATAGCTGTCTGAAAAATTATGTTCCCTTTATTTGAAAATATTACTACAGTAATTTTTTTGTGATCCTAAACACAAGAACTATTTCTGGCTTATAAAACAAACAAAAAATTAGGAAGCCAGGTACCAGTGGATCACACCTGTAATCCTAGTGCTGCTGCCACTCAGGAGGGTAAGATCTGGGGGTCATGGTTCAAAGCCAGCTGGGGGAGTAAAGTCCATGAGACTGTTCTCTCCAAGAAACTATCAAAAAGCTGGAAGTAGAGTTGTGGCTCAAGTGGTGAACACTAGCCTTGAGCATAAAATCTCAAGGACAGCACCCAGGCCTGGAGTTCAAACCAGGACCAGCACCAAAAAATAAAAATAAGAGATAAAACTTTAAAAAAACTTGCGAACCATAATTCTGTTTCAGACCAATCTAAGTATACTTATATCTGTGCTACCAATGTATTTGTGACATCCTTGAGTGGAACCAGCAGTTAACTGGTCTTTTCTCTCTCTCTTTCCATCATAATCTAGAGTGAGGGATCAAGGATATCCTGCCAGACTTGTTGACAAAAGGTGCTCTCCAAGGGTCTCTTTCCTCTTTCGTGTGTGTGTGTGTGTGTGTGTGTGTGTGTGTACACACCTTTAGCTGGGGAGAGAGTCCAGGGCCTCAGACAAGTCCTCTACCATTTAGCTATACCCTCGGACTACCCATTGACATCTTTCTGAGAAATAGATTATATACCACTTTCCATATAAGAGTATTCCCCAGCTAGGCACTGGTGGCTCATGCCTGTAATCCTAGTTACTCAGGAGGCTGAGATCTGAGGTTGATAGTTCAAAAGTCTATAAGATTCATTTCCACCACTAAATTAACCACCAAGAGGCCAGAAGTGGAGCTGTGGATCAAATGGTAGAGCACCAGCCTTGAGCACATAAAAGCTAAAGGACAGTGCTTAGGCCCTGCGTTCAAACTCCAGTGTGTGTGTGGGTGTGTGTGTGTGCATTTGCATGCACACGTGTACACACACACACACACACACACACACGTACCCCCTATGGCATGGAAAAAGCAAATGTTAAAGATCATGATCTTTTTAGATAAAGATCATATTTTAGAGGCATTCTTCCTTCTTAGGGGATCAAATATCTACCAGTCACAAAATATTCCTGAGGACAGTTGTTTTCTTTAAGACTTTTGACATTTGAGGTTTTTTTTTTAAATAATAAAATTACTACTTTCTGGAACAAACTATAAAGAAATTATGAAATCTAACCACAAGGAAAAACAGTCATCACAATCTTCTTTCTCAAGAACAAATATCTTTGAGAAATAAAGATTGCTATCCCATTTGAAAGGATAGAACCTTTTTTATGACTAACTGGTAAAACTGTAAAGTATTTTTAAATTTTTTAAGGAAAGGATCATAGGATTATGACGCTCAGAATATACACTACATCGAGATGTCTTATCATTGAATACATACTAGACCACCAATAATACTCATTTAAAATTTTTTTTTGTTAATTGTGCCAGGTGCCTATTGCTCATGCCTATAATCCTAGTTACTCAGGAAGCTGAGATCTGAGAATCATGGTTCAAAGCCAGCTTGGGCAGGAAAGCCCATGAGACACATCTCTAATTAATAACCAAAAATTTGGAAAATAGAGCTGTGGCTCAAGTGGCAGAGTACCAGCATTGAACATAAAAACTCAGGGATAGTGCCCAGGCCCTGAGTTAAAGCCCTAGGACCAGCACCAAAATAGTAGTAATAATAATAATAATTCTTCCTTATGACTATAAATTCCAGTGCTTAATTTTCCACTGTTAAAAAAATCTCTTTTCTAGAGTTAATATAAAACCTCTCTCAATGAAATCTTCCTTTTTGTAGCCATTGTGCTATGTCTTTTTTTTAACAAGAGGAAATAAATTCTCTTTTCTTTCTTTAAATTTTTTATTTTGCTCAACTTCAAAAGGTTGTACCCTTAAAGGGGTTAGAATTTAATGCGCCCACCTAAGTGTTCAGTAAACTCTCTTTTCTTAAGGATTACTACTTCCTTAGGCTAAATAAAGTATTATTTCTGAATAAATATTTTTAAAATTAGTGAATAGTTTTGTGTTTTCTAGAAGTTCTCCAAATCACAATACCTCTCCTCTCCTCTTTTCTTAGAATCCACAATGGAATATATAACAAGATCTGAGGAAAACATGAATTGATTAGAAAGAGTCCACCAAGGTGTAAGCACTTGAATGAAAAGCAATTAATTGCTTCACTTTATTTTACTGTTATTTTTTTAATTAAGAAAAATCCTCAGTAGGAAAGCATTTCCATACACAAGTCTTCCATATTGCAACTGTGCTTCCTTTAAAAAATCGCCTTGGCCTGGGTTGGTGATTCACGCCTGTCATCCTATCAACTACTCAAGAGGCTGAGATCTGAGGATCCTGATTTGAAGCCAGCCCAAGTCAGACAAATCTGTAAGACTCTTATCTCCAATAAGCCAGCAAAAAGTGGAAAATGGAGCTGTGGCTTAAGTGGTAGAGAACCAGCCTTGAGCAAAATAGCTCAGAGACAGTGCCTAGGCCCTGAGCTCAAGCCCCAGTACCAGCACAAAATAAATAAATAAATAAAGTTTAAAAGAAATCTGTAAGTGACTATAAATATGGTTCAACCATAAGATAAATCTATGGTTTTCTCTTTTACTGCTCAGGGATTATCACCTAATTTTGTGCTAATTCATCTCCAAGTTTATCTCCTTGGCAAAGTCTTGCTAAAATTATCATTTTATAGGATTAATATTTGCAAGCAAGCCTGTCCCACTCTATTTAGATAACTTTTTGAAAAAAGCAGAAATAAAGTAGTTAATAAGCAATTTCATGGTAAGTTTCCTATTGGGAGAAATAAGAGTTTTCTATGTGACTGGGCTAAAGGATTGAGAGGAAATTCAGTACCAGCTCTCCCGACAGGGGGTGCCATACTCACCCATCCTATATTTACCTAGAGAAGACTCCCACTGGGCACCCATTACCACCACCTCAAAAAACCAGCCAAAGAGAAAGATGTTCCAAGGTACTTGTTTAAAAAGCCAGTTCCCTCAGGCACAAAGTCGACTCGCTACAACCACTTGGCAAAACAAAATAAAATCACACAACAGGAGGATGGAAGATTTCTTTCATTGACTCCAATAAAATCCATCCTGCTCCTTCATCCTGCTACGGGGTAGACGCAACACTAATAAACAGGACCTCACAGCAAGGCAATACATGTAGGAACAATGCAAGAGGGTCCTGGGGTTAGAACTTGCATGACAATCTGTTTCTAAGCTAGGCACTGGTGGCTCACACCTGTAATCCTCGCTACTCAGAAGGCTGAGATCTGAGGATCACAGTTCAAAGCCAGCTCAGGCAGCGAAGTCTTTAAAAAGACTCTGATCTCCCAGGACCCAGTCAGAAGTGAAGGTATGGCTCAGGTAGTAGAATGCCAGCCTTAGGAGCAAAAGCCAGGCAAGAGTGTGAGACACTTTGAGTCTAAGACCCAGTAGCAGCACGCGCACGTCCACACGCGCGCGCACACACACAGACACAGACACACACACACACACACACCTGTTTCTGTCCTTTAACTCTAATCCCTATTTTTGTGGAAGATCTCAATTATTTCCTCCAAGCTGCCTATGAAAGGACCTGGATCAAAGTAGCACTTCTAGAAAGAACACAGAACCTTTTGGTGGCTTTGGTAATTAACAGGGAATGCACCTTCACTGGCAGATGATAGACAAGAACAGACAGGGTATACATGAGGACTGACAACTCCCTGACAATGCCCTCCTTCTACTAGACACCACACCTATGGTTTAGCACCCCACATTGCTAATGGTCCTTTACATGAATAATAAAGATCTAGTCATTTTGAAAACAAGCTACAGATTCCATTACATGAAAAATGAAATCCTTGGGTCTTTAACTAAGTTAAGGCTATCTGACAGGGACAAGGAGCCAAGATGAGGAGCAACAGTGTGAACCAGCCCTGGGAAATTAAAGAGCCCAGTGCAAGACTTGACAGCTCAAGAAGTTTCAACATGTTTCCTTGTTTGTCAGACGATGTGCAAAATAAATTTTGCTTATGAAAATCTACGGTGAAATCAAGTCATAAAAGTTACCTAGCAGAATCTGGAAATTAACTAGGAACATGTCTTATCTCAATCTAAAATGATTATAGGCACCTGAGTGTTGATCAAAAGTAGACAATGAGCTATGTTTTTTCTTAACCTATTGGGGTTGGGAGGGGTGGTGTTAGCAAGGAAGATTAATTATGAAAAAAAACCTGACAACAAAGCATACAACTGACTCAAAATCTGAACACTTCTGGGTCAATTAACTAACCAAGACTACCTTACATCTATCTGTGTATATATTTCCCAATTAATTCTTGATACTTTTTTAACAGGAAAGACTCATAGTAGGACCCTGAATTTGGAAGAAGAAAAAAAATATATATATTCTGATCATTAAATAAACACACTATTTTTCCCTTCAAATTATTTAACTTTAACATCATATCATCTCTCTCTCTCTCTCTCTCTCACACACACACAAGCAGCACCAGTGCATCTACTCAAATTGCAATTTCAAAAAAAGCTAAAGATGCCATCCAAACTTGAGTGTCAACGAATTATAATTTAGTCTCTTTCTTAGATTTACTTAACGATATCCAGTGAAGAACGCTAATAAGAAAAACAAAACCCAGCAGTTAATGAGTGACCAATTAGAAAAGAAAGTTTGCATACATAGTATGAATGTAACAGCAAAATAGAGTTACTGTTAACGATCAAATGCACCTCGCATAGCATTTTGTGAAAGGAAAATAATCAGTCTGGCTAATTCCAGATCCCAAGCTAAATTACAACTCATATTTCACTCAGCAAACTATTGCTGATTCAAAAATAAAATAAATGAATTAAATTAAATTCTCCTCTCACAGAAATTAAATTAGCTTGATAGACATACATTAGATAGCCAAAAAAAAAAAATCTCCAACAAAATAAATACCAACGACCAAAAAAAAAAAAAAAAGGAATCCTCCTCTATAGCTGAATTTGGAGGATGAAGAAAGATAATTTTATAACATATGTCTCCTTAAATTGTCATAGGACACTCTGCTATAGAGGTAAAGCCAGTCATCTGAGATTTATGTTTTGTTTTTTTTAAATCGAAGTGCACTAGAGCCAACTGATTGCAGTTCATCAGAACACACTGATCACACAAGGAGTCTAGATGCTTTGTGTTTTCTTCTCAATGTTTCCTCTCCCAGATGATGAATCCAATGCCATCTGACAATGGAGAAGAAAACTCCCTGCTGGGTCTTGGGCAGTATCCTGGGTGTGCCCCAATGTCCACTGGCGGTGAGGCTTAGGGGCGAGGTGGTGGTGAGAGACACTGGAGAGGAACGCAGGGCGAGCTGGAATGTGGCTGCTCCTCAGGGGCCACTCCATCAGGACTGCAAAGCAGAAACACACTGGTCAGCAGAACGCGCTGACTAAGGCTCAGGCAGGCTGCAGAGATCACACCCATTACGTTTCACAAACACTTAAATAGTTTAAAGTCCAAAGCATGCTGGCACCAATGGGGGGGAGGGGCGTTCAAAACAAGACAGGACAAAGAAAAATGAAATGCATCGGGGAAATGTAATATAAACTCTTCATCCCAGACTGTTCTTATCAGTGTTGTTTGTTTTTGTGCCAGGCCTAGGGCTTGAACTCAGGGTTTAGGCGCTGTCCCTGAGCATTTTAACTCAACTAGTATTCTACTGCTTGAGCCACTGCTCCACTTCCAGCTTTTTTGGTGGTTATTTGGAGATAAGAGTCTTTTGGACTTTGCTGCCTGGATTGGCTTTGAACTGTGATTCTCGGATCTCAGCCTCCTGAGATCCTCCTGAGCTAGGATTACAGGTGTGAAGCAGAAGCACCACACATTTGTTCTTTTCTTTACATGAGCTGTGGAAGTGGGGTTGAGATTAGGCTGTCATCAAGGGAGGAGAAACATTTGCAATTCATGAAAGTGCATTGATTTCAAGTAAATCGACCCATGGAAAAAGCAAGTAGCCTAAATGCAGCCATCTCTGCAGCCATCTCTGCATAAGTAACTGAACTGGGTCACTTAAATGTTTAAGTCAGAATGGATCTACCAAAAAAAAAAAAAAAAAGTGCTGGGTGCTGGTGGCTCACACCTGTAATCCTAGCTACTCAGGAGGCTGAGATCTGACGTTTATCATTTGAATCCAGCCCAAGCAGGAAGTCTGTGATATTCTTTCCTCTAATTAACCACTAGAAAATTGGGGCTTTTTCCAAAAAAACTCAAGGACAGCGCTTGGGCCCTGAGTTTCAAGCCCTGCAACCTATCCACTACCACCCCCTCATGCCCCCGCCAAAAAAAAAAAGCCAGGCTGGGTGGGCTGGGTGTTGGGTGTTGGTGGCTCACTGGTGACATCCCAGCTACTCAGGAGGCTGAGATCTGAATATCCAAGTTTGAAACCAGCCTGAGCAGATAAATCTAAAGGACTCTTGTCTCTAATTAGCCACCAAAAAAACTAGAAGTAGAGCTGTGGCCCAATTGGTAGAATGCCAGCCTTAAAGCAAAAAAGCTAAGTGAGAGCAAGAGACCCTGACTTCAAGCCTATTACCATCATGTGCATACACACACATGTACGAGTACACACACACACACACACACACACACACACACACACACACACACACAATAGCCAGGTGTAATAAAGCTTTAAAAGTGTCTTCCCTAGTTGGGCACTGGTGGCTGATGTCTGTAATCTTAGCTACTCAGGAGACTGAGATCTGAGGATCTTGGTTCAAATCCAGCCTGGGCAGGAAAGTCTGTGAGACTCTTATCTCCAATTAACCACCAAAAAGCCAGAAGTGGAGCTGTGGCTCAAGCAGTAGAATGCTAGTCACCCTGAGTTCAAGCCCCAGGATGGGCACACACACAAAAATGAGATCATTTGATGAGACCATCTCTGTTCTTGAAACACCCTGAGCAAGTTAGGCACTGATAGTTCATGCCTGTAATCCTAGTTACTCAGGAGGCTGAGATCTGAGATCCTGGTTCAAAGCCAGTCTGGCCAGTAAAGTCCATGAGAAATAACTCCAATAAACTACTCAGAAAAAAACAGAAGTGGCACTGTGGCTCAAGTGACAGAGCACTAACTTTGAGCAAAAAAATGCAGGAAGTGTCTAGGCCCTGAGTTCAAGCCCCAGGAGCAGCAAAAAGAACAAAAACAAAAACCACCTGGAGCAGTTGTCTTTTCTACTCAGTGCCCAAATAAAGGAGGAAGGTTAGGAAAGGGACTGGATTTCTCTGCCTGAATCAGACAGGTGCTATGAAAGGTGGATTACAGACACTGGGTGGACCTGCCTCACTAAATTCCTCCCCCTGGGTCTGTGGATCACCTCACTTCACAGGAGTTTTAAGCCCGAAGAAGTAACCTCAGGGTCACACAGCTGTGGGGTGTGACAGGTAGGATCCCAGCCCACACACTGCATCGGGACAAAGAGCCCCTCGCTCACTCACTCACCCATGCCTCTGGAACCTGTTACACAGCCACACATCCCAACCCTGCGTGAGTGTGGGCTTCTCTGTAGAGCATGGACTGTAGGTTGAGCTTTTTATTTGTCTTTTCTTTTCTTTTCTTTTGGCCTGGTTGTGGGGCCTGAACTCTGGGCCTGGGCGCTGTCCCTCAGCTCTTCAGCTCAAGGCTAGCGCTCTACCACTTGAGCCACAGCGCCACTTCCGGCTTTTTTTGTTTATATGGTGCTGAGGAATCAAACCCAGGGCCTCATGCATGTGAGGCAAGCGCTTCTACCACTGAGCCACCTTCCCAGCCCTATTTGTCTTTATTTATATTTAGTTTGAATTTTTTGTTTGCTTGTTTGGTTTTAGTGTGGGTCCTGGGGCTCGAACTCAGGGCCTGGGCAGTATCCGTGAGTTTTTGTTTGCTTTGGTCTTTTTCTCAAGGCTAGAGTTCTACCAACTTGAGCCATAGTTCCACTTCTGGCTTTTTTGATAGTTAACTGGAGATGTGTCTTATAGACTTTCCTGTCTAACCATGATCCTCAGATCACAGCCCCCTGAGTAGCTTGGTACCAGTACTGAGACTTGAACTCAAAGCCTCACACTCTCACTGAGCCACCTGAGACTGGCACTCTACCACTTGAGCCATACGTCCACTTCCAGCTTTTTGGTGGTTAGTTGGAGATAAGAGTCTCTCAGATTTGTCTGCTTGAGCCTATTTCCAATTGGGATCTTCAAATCTCAGCCTCCTGAATAGCTAGGATGATAGGCGTGAGCCACTTGCCCAGTTATAGGTCACATTCTTAACATTATGCCTGTAAAATTCCATCAAGATGGACGGAATACTTATCCATGTATTTGAACTGCATCCATTATTGAAATTGCTCTATGACTGACTGCCAATACCACATAGCACGAACAGGTTAGCAAAAAACCTTTCTGGAATAAAAGCTCTGTTGCTAGAACAGCCCAGACTAAGAACCATCAGAAGATCCAGGCTGGGCTTGGCACAGGTGGCCCATGCCTATCATCTTTGCTACTCAGGAAGCTGAGATCTGAGGATCATGGTTCAAAGCCAGCCTAGACAGGAAAGCCTATGAGATGCTACAGGCTTATGAGCCTTTATCTCCAACCACCAAGATAGCTGGAAGTAGAGCTGTGGCTCAAGTGGTAGAGTACTAGTCTTGAGCAAAAGAAGCTCAGGGACAGTACCTAAACCCTGAGTTCAAGCCCCAGTGCTGGCACAAAAACAAACAAACAAACAAATAAAATGACCCTGGCTGGGAACAGTACATCTTTTTCAACTTTAGTCCCAGGGACCATGTGACACTTGGCCCCTGGCTGCCACAGTCCTGCATTGGTGGCTTACTAGCTCCTCGAGGCAGGCCCACATGTGGCCCGCAGTTACACCTACTCCTCAGACAGACTCAGGACTAAAGAAGTCTCCCCTGGAATGAGGGTGACAGATATAGCAACACGCACGAATGAGCAACACTCAGACAGACTAGGAAAGCATATGGCTCCAACAGGAGTTAGGGAAGTCAGGATGAAGAAAAGTCATAGCGGATTTCACACAAGTTTTCCCAGGAACCATGAATGGTCATCAGCTCTCCAGGTCCCTGTCCAGGGAGCGAGCAAATTTGCTTTTAGAATTTTTCAGATCATCTTATCTAAAAAGCTCACTCATTACCAATGTGTATGTATGTGTGTGGACGCCCGCCCACATGTGTGCTCCAGTACTAGAGTTTGATGGGGCTTGAACTCAGGCCTTAGGTATTGTCCCTTGGTTTTATTTGCTCAAGGCTGGTGCTCTACCACTTGAGCCATGCCTCCAGCCTAGCATTTTGTGCACCAGTCCTAGAGCTTGAATTGAGGGCCTGAGTACTGTTCCTTCTATCACTTAAGCCTCAGCTCCACTTACGGCTTTTTGGTGCTTAACTGGTGATATGAATTTCATGGACAGGGGAGGCAGCCCAGGCTAGCTATGAACCACAATCCTCAGATCTCAGCCTCCAGAGCTGCTAGGATTACAGGCATGAGCCACCAATGCCTACCTTCAGCCCAGCTGGCTAATTGGGCTTTTCTGTCCAGACTGGTGATCTTCTTATGATGGCCCATGAGTGGCTCAGATTACAGATGTGAGTCACCAGCTCTTTTTTTTTTTAAAAAAAATAATGTTGTCCTGGGTCAGACCTTTGCTACACTGTGTATCTGTGGTCTCCATTCTCTTCCTGGTTTTGCTTGTCTGAGAAACAAATAGCAAAGTGGGACTAATATCCGCACAACTCCAGGTTTCCAACTGGAAGGCTGGTGAATAACCCTGGATGTGAACACCTACACTCTGCCTGTCCGAGGGGCACAAAGGCCTCTAGCCTATCTCCCAGCAGTAAAGAGACCTGAATGCTCACTCTCTTGCATTCCCCCCACACCCAACCCCCACACCCCCGCTGTGAGATAACACAGAGTAGGGTGTCATTCCGTCCAGGCCTTTGGGGGTCAGACATGCAGCAGGGTGGGAGAAGCGAGGGCTGCGAGTTTACCTGACTGTCGGGCAGTCTGGCCTTGCAGTTAGTTGTGCGCACTGTGGCGGTACGGCGGCAGCAGGCTGCTGACAATCTACGAGAAACTGATAAATTAGACATATATACAAAGAGACGACAGAGCCAGGTGTTAGTGACAGTCGCTAAGCAGCTGCCTGAGATTTAGTGAGGAATGTTCACTGACACAGCAACATCTGGATTAAACAGCCCCTTCCCCCACCCCCAAGAAAGGTCCAATAGAAAAGACAGGCCCATTTTGTTTTCTTAATTGAATACAGCATGAAAAATTAGTGATACAAAATTAGTAGCAAGATTTCTCAAGTACATTAAGGACATTCATATTTGGTGCTTTGATGGCTCTAAAAACAAATGATCTAGCCAGGTACCAGTGGTTCATGACCATAATCCTAGCTACTCAGGAGGCTGAGATCTGAGAATAGAGGTTCAAAGATAGCCTTGGCAGAAAACTCTGTAAGACTTTTTTTTTGTGTGTGCCAGGCCTAGGTCTTGAACTCAGGACCTGGACATTGGTCTCTGAGCTAGCTCAAGGCTAGCACTTGTGTGACAGCTCTACTTCTGACTTTTTGGTATTTAATTGGAGATAAGCATCTCACGGACTTTCCGTCCTGGGCTGGCTTTGAACTGTGATGCTCAGGTCTCAGCCTCCTGAGTAGCTAAGATTACAGAGAGCCACCGGTGTCGGTTTTAAGACTCTTTTCTCTAACCAGCAAAAAGCTGTAAGTAGAGGTGTGGCTCAAGTGGTACAGCACCAACCTTGAACAGAAAAATCAGAGAGAGTGCCCAGGCCCTGGGTTCAAGCCTCAGTTCTAGTGTGCACATGCATGGGCACACGCACACACACGCGCACGTGCACACACACACACGCATGCATGCATCTTTGCTCCTTCTGTATTTTCCAGTAGCTTTTCTATGTGTATTGTCACTTGGGTATATTTTGGACCAATTTAGGCAGCTACTGGAATTTGCTAGGCCAACACCAGATATGTAGTTTGCAAGTTATGCAGGTGTGCTGCCCTCTGCTGGTATCTTTGGGTTAGTGCATGTATGGAAAGAAACACCTGGAAAAATAAAACACTTGGCAAACCACACAGGAATCCTATTTTCATATTGCTAGTAAAGTATAAACTACACTTTTTTTCCTTTTTTCTATTTACACTGATCCTAGGGCTTGAACTCAGGTCCCTGCACTCTCAAATGGCTTTTTGGCTCAAGGTTGGCAGCTCTACCACTTGGACCACACCTCCTCTTCCCGGTTTTCTGCTGGTTAATTGGAGATGAGTGTCTCAAGGACTTTCTTGCCTGGCTGGCTTCACATCCTCAGATTTCAGCCTCCTGAGTAGCTAGGATTACAGGTACAAGCCACTAGCACCTGGCAAATCTCACTGCTCTGAAACAATAACAGATGATAATTCTTGTAACTTATGGAGCAGGTGCTACAGAAACTCCACAGCCATGGCTGGTATTTTGGCTACAAGGATTGTTCAACCACTCAACAATCAGGTTCCTAAACTCCATCTATCCCCAAACTGAGCCAGTGGGGATAAATGGGAATCAGAGAAGATATGGTCCAGGCCTGACTGAGGAAGACAAATCCATCTGTATGGGCACTTACAATACCAAATCACAATGGTGGCGATGATGACATATTTCAATAAGGACAGGCTGACACTACCTGGCATTGACTGACTGAGATGGCTTAGTACTAAAGCTGGCAGTCAGGGAATTGCAGCCCATATGACTTACACATGGCAGGATAAGCTGATAAACCAAAACCAGACAGACAACAACATGGCTGACGGAGAAAGGTGGCTACAAGAGAATGAGGGAGTAAAAGTACAAAAGGATGAGGAGATAAGGACAAGGATGCTGAATCTTTGGCTTCCCAATCTTGTAGAAAACAGGAAGGAGGCCCACCAATCAGAAAGCTGTCTTCAAAGACTCTAATTTCTCCCTATTTAATGCAAGGCCAAGTTCTGTAATGAGGAAGACAATCCAAGATGGCTGCAATGCGCTGAAGGGCTGCCTTCCGGTGGCCATTTCTATGCTGCATTCTCCCTTGCTCTGCTATATTTCTTCTTGAATAAACATTCCTATCACCTTCAACTATGTCTATATCTGCCTGGATTTCTTCTCTTTCCAGACACAAGGATGAGGTTCTTTAGTTGTCCTAAACTTTCTGGTAGCATATTTGGTGTGTTTGCCAGGAAGATGGGTTAAGTCTTTTTCTGACTAGAATTCGCTGAGTGGCTACAGGAAGAGGATGACTTAAAGTTAGCCTGGGCCAAAAGTTAGTAAGATCCCCACTTTGGCCAACAATTGTGGTGATGCATGGCTACAATCTTGGCTACATGAGACATCCTGATTATGTTAGACCTAGACAATAATACCTGAAAAATAACTAAAGAAAAACATTGAGGGGGGGGGATGAGGATTGCACTCAAGTAGAAGAGCCACTGAGGGGTGAGTTCAAATCCTAGGAGAGAAGGGAGGGGGGAAGGAGGGAGGGAGGAAGGGAGGAAGGGAAGAAAAAAGAGGGGGGTGAGGAGAGACTATGAGAATAGTCTCTTAAAGCCATTCTGGATGAACTAGTACTAGCTTTTGTCAGTTTCCAGACACGCTGAGTGTATGAAATATACTCATGGGGCTGGGAATGTGGCTTAGTGGTACAGTGCTTGCCAAGCATTTCAATCAATTTCTCAGTACCATGTAAACAGAAAAAGCCAGAAGTGGTGCTGTGGCTCAAGTGGTAGAGTGCTAGCTTTGAGGAAAAGAAGCTCAGGGACAGTGCCCAGGCCCTGAGTTCAAGTCCCAGGCCTGGCAGAAAAAAGAAAGAGAGAGAGGGGGAGAGAGAGAGAAAGAGAGGGAGAAGGAGAGGGAGAGAGAAAGAAAGAAAGAGTTTTAAAGTTCGTGTTCTTAAATCAACTTTTCTTTTTCTTTTTTCTTTTTGGCAATTAGCAACTTAAGACTTCAATGTGTATGTCAGCAAAGTAATTTTTAAATGTCAAGAAACTTTAATACTTAAATCATTCCTCACTAAATCCACAAAAATGATTAACAATGTGTTAATGATCGAACAGAAAGGTTCTTGGAGGAAGAACATTCTCCACGTAGTAGTAACCTAAACATTTAATAGTTTTATGGATTCCTAAATAAATACAATAGAAAGACAGAGAATTGAGAATTTAGGGGGAACAAAGACAAACATGAGATAGAAATAATACATTAAAAAATAAGAGAATGAGATAGAAACACATAGATACTAATAGTAGTTAGAAACAGTTGGCATTAATGAGCATGGTTGGCCACAATGCCCTTGAACATTTTGTAATCAAGGAACTTGAACGGGCTATCTCAGCCCTTTAGCCAAACACACCATATGTCTTTGGTTTTTCTGGTGTTTTTTTTTTTTTTTTGGTGCCAGTCCTGGGGTTTGAACTCATGGCCTAGGTGCTATCCCTGAGCTTTTTTGTTCAAGGCTAGTGCTGTACCACTCTGAGGTACAGCGCCATTTCTGGTTTTCTGGTGGTTAACTGGAGAATAAAGTCTCATGGACTTTCCTGCCTGGGCTGGCTTTGAACCACAATCCTCGGATCTCAGCCTCTTGAATAGCTAGAATTATAGGCATGAGCCACCAGCATCCAGCTGACACCTTAGTTTCTTGGAAAGTATCCACAGATAGAAGGGCATAATCTCCAAACGTTCCAGGATATGCTTTGCCTAACTTATATCACCAGACATTTTAGTCTCCTTTTTATATCATTGTGCAACAGAACAAATTTGATAATACATTTATATCCTTCAGCGAAACAATCATTTACTTACAAATTGCAGATAATAATGCAACAGAATTGTTGAAACACATGAAAAGATTTCAATATAGATCAAGCAAGAAACAAAACCCAGGACAAATCTTTAAAGTATCTGGCTCTGTTTCCAGAAATAAGTATGTATGGTTTTAACACTTTGGTGAACAGCATTAAAATGACCTTCAGCCATGAAGAATCAGAGTCTGACTCACTCAGCAGGAGATGGGAATTTGTGTGTGTATATATGTGTGTGTCCGTGTGCACACACACAAACCCTAAGACTATGCTGGTTTTGTGGCTTTAACTCAGGGCCTTATATTCAGGCTTGGCTTTTTCCACTCAAGGCTGGCATTCTACCACTTGAGCCACGTCTCCATTGCTGGCTTTTTGCCTGTTAACTCATGATAAGGTCTCAAACACTGTTGTGCCTGGACTGACTTCAAAACCTAATCCTCTGATTTCAGTCTCCTGAACAATCTTAATTACAATCAAGAGCCACCAGCAGTCAGGTTGAAAGGCTTTTTTTTTTTTTTAGACTTAGCAGTGATCATAGATTAGATAAAATTTCACTCAGTCTGTATATTTGTTATTATAGAACTGGCACATGAAACAAAGCAATATTTTTTTAGAAAAGTGATTTTTTTCTTTCAAATCTTGCAGAAATGTAAAATTAGCCTTTCTGCTTCTAATCAGTTCATGAGTTAACCATGAACACCTCTGATATCAATGGCTGAAGGCAGGAGAGACACAGACCATAAACTGGAAGATAATTAAGACAATGACACCAAGAAGTAAAAGCATATTTTGTTGCTAGATTCTTATACCAATTATGCTTGTTTTTGTGGAGTCCTAGGGCTTGAACTCAGGGCCCTGGGCATTGTCACTGAGCAATTTTGCTCAAGGCTAGCACTCTACCATTTGAGCCACAGCTCCATTTCCAGCTTTTGTGGTAACTAATTGCAAATATGAGTCTCATGAATTTTCCTTAACAGGCTGGCTTTGAACCTCAATTCTCAGAGCTCAGCCTCCTGAGTAGCTAGGATTACAGGCATGAGCCACCAATGCCCAGATCAATTATATTCCTTTTAAAACATGACTTTGTGTTCAGAAATTACCTTCTCAAGACAAATGCCAGTTAGCAGAATTAACTCAAGATAGAATGTTGGCCTGTCTTTCATAAGCTAAACCAATTAGCATACACAAAGCCCAGCCTCTCCTTTCAAATGTCGTAATTCATTCATCATCCACA